TCAAGACCCGTCTCAAGACTCCTCTTCGACCATGCCTTCGGTCAACCTCCTTCCCCTGCCCTCCACCCTCCCCGATCCTGACCCTCAGCTCGGGTCCAAAACATTGATTGTCCAGCGCCTTGTGACATCCTCCCAATGTGAAAGGTGCTATACAAATCTAATATTGTTGTTGTTGTTTTATAGTCAGGCAAATGGTCAGTAAACAGATAATGAAAAGGATCTTTTCTTCGACAAATCCATCAAACTTTTGAAAAATGAACCCATTTTTTCCTCTAAATGAATTAACGTCACGCTGTACATTCTGAATGATCATGTGGTGCACTCTGCCGGTATTGTATGTCACACTTGGAGAAATCCTTAACTCTAAGGATCGAGGTGTGTCGTTCAATTCTTCTTTCTTAAAATAGTTGCTGCAATGTGTTAGGTAAATTGAATGTATACCTAGTGAATAGTTATTGTTGCATTGTGTGCATTGTGCTTAAATACACCTGCATGGAATAGCTCTATTCACTTTGGAACAATGTAACAGTGCAAACATTTAGTGATTTCAAAAAAGAATGCAGTTTTTATCAAAGCATTCTTAGTATCCTAGTATGATTTCTGCATTGAACATAAGTAGCTTTGTTCTATTTCCAGATTTACCCGCTCACCGAACTGGTGTAAAATTATCAGCAGCATTACTCCCTGCTGCTGCACGATGTTGCCAAAGTTCAGTCAGATCATAGATTTACCAGGGACTACCAACACAGAACTCACACAGGAAGCCTTTAGTAGATTCAAGTGAACTTTGACTGGCAGCATCCCAGAATGGAGAATAATGCTGCTGATTTTATACCAGGGGTGAGTAAATTGATCAGAGACAAATTGCTCTGCCAAGTGTAACCAGCCAAATCGCATAATATTTAGCAAGCTGACAGCATCAATCTACAGTTAGGCGATACCTCACTGTGCATTTAAATGGACACTATCAATGTTTTGAGGAAGCAGCTCCTCTCCTTCCTCCAGCAGGCTGTATGGTGTTAGGACCTGAAGTGTAAGCATAAGGCTTTTTGGGCTGGGTGATGCTCTGGCCTACTGTTCCAACCACTCAGATTTACTCAAAGTTCTCTGTAGCATCTGGCTACAGATGCTACAGCTTTTCCCACCCCTTACTGCAGGTTTACTGGACCTGATACATTTCAGTAACTGATGTTCTCGTTCACTTGAGGATTCACTATTCTCTTGCAAATCAATGCTCCCCTCAGTCATTGAGGTGGTATATTTGACTCATTTCAAATAATCTTTACGTTGGTGTCCAAACTTACCACTGACAGATGTTCCACATTTGAATAGACCTGCATTGCATAATGGCTTGAGATTCCTTTACAAGCACAAATATTACTTTTACAACTTCTTAAAACTCCTCAATCCTAATGGAATTAATCATTAAATCACAAAATTGTAAACAACAGAACTTTGAATATTACAATCTTGCATTTGCTGTATTTTACTATATTTTATATTACTGTTTTTTTTGCTATTGTGTCATGACTCACTCCTTTGTTTCCGGGCTATCAGTAACAAGATTAGATTCTCCCTGGCAGTCTGAGTTCGATCTGAACATGTTGACAAAATCTTTTCACTCAAATTAGCAAGCAGGACTCTCCAACGTGATTAGCTTGCAGAACCGAAAACAACAGTCAGCTTCAGAAATTACAGGCAGTGTATTCCACAAATAATCGCATTTAATTTAGCTGCTGTACACCCTTGCAAACGAATAAACATTTTCCATACATTATTTGGTTATTTAGGACATTACTAATCGATAGCATTGTGATTTCTTTTTATATATTTATGGAAATGATGAAACCTTTTTGGAGGACTAAATAGATTCAGTCTCTCTCTCCGTCCTTTCTCCCTCCCTCTTTCCCCACATTCACACAAAAATTGAAGGCTTTGTTAAATCAGACATGCATTGTGAGGATGCACTTGGGTCAAGCAAACGCCATAAAATGCCTCCTATATTATTTGTTTTTACCAATGACACACGACAGACTCGCTTGTGTGTGTTTGTTCTGTCAAATAAAAAAAGGTAGCATTCAATCAGGAAAGCGCCTTAGGTCCTGCTGTCATGACAACTGCACTGTAACAGTGATCTGCTGTCATGGTGACCTTGATGCTCTGCTCAGTCTTTCTGCATATTGTAACTGGCTCACGTCACAAGTATAAATTAAAAGTTATGTTATGTACAAAGAGGAGGAGCTTTATATTAAAATATGAAAAAAACCTCAAACCCCCCACCCCGATTAATAGGAAATTTGTCTTGACAGCCGGGAACAAGAAATTATATTTTCTGTTTAACCAACGATCGCTTTATACAGGATTGAGGCAATGGTTCAGTTCATTATTGTCATGTTCAGTACAGCTCAGCTCTTGAGTTCTACTTTAGCTGCACGAAGTTTGGCATTAGTGAGTTTCCATCACTATAACTGAGTTAGAAGCCAAACGCTTGTCACCTTATTTGAAGTAAACTGTTGAGGTTAAAAATGGCTCAGGCTAGTTGAGAGAATGAAAAGAGCTAATCTTCTGGAGCAAGTCATTTGCAAGCTGTCAGATTAATTTCAGAATATTTTAATGCTGTATTCCTTCACGTTTTATTTCAATTTCAAAAATCTTTGCAAAATGGGGTTTGAAATTCTGTTAATTGCAATATTCTTGTGTGACATTCACTGTAATAAGCAGGCTCAATCAACCAACCATTGGGTGTAGATCGCAATACCAGCTGCAGTCAGCAGTGAACATCCTTTCTACATATTGGGAGACTGTAGCATGTATCCAAACTCCACTGTTACAATACAGACATAATCTGGCCGTATTCACTTGATTTTAACATGTTACATTACTTTGTAATTTTGAATGTGGTCATTTAGCTTGGGTGTGGACATTGTCCGATTTTAGTGTAAATACTTCTATGTGTTATGCACGCATTTCTTACAGAACCATCAGAATACACACACAATCCTGAGCCACTCAATATTCAAATTCTGATCCAACATGGGATTTCCCCAAATTCAGTCTGCAACTGATTCCGTCTATTCACAATCTATATATTGTATGCACAAAGTGCTTTCTTTCCTTATTTCAGTTTGTAAAACATTGCCATCTGCACATCGCATTGCTCTGACTTGAAAGGCAAGTGGGCCTTGAGCAACAAGGAGGAATGAATACATGACAATTGGGGTTACAGCAGAAATAATCTGTCCGTACTCACTTGATTTTAACATGTTGCATTTCTGTTGTAATTTTGAGTGTGGTAATTTAGCTTGGAGAAATACAGTGTAATTCAGAAAAGTACAATTCATTTTAAAATATTCCAGAGTGTTTTAAGCATTTTTGGTATTGGTGTAGATTACTTTGTTCAATTTCAGTAAATGAGGACATGAGAGTTGTACATTGCTAAATAAAGTCCATGTGGAATTTTGTACATTAACCCACATCTTTTGAATAACCAACAAGCCTCAGCCTGGTTTCATATCAGCAGTTATTGGAGCTTGGTGCTGGTAATTGTAGTTTTGGTCACTACTACTGCTACTCAGCAGTCTGGGCTATTCAGAGGTTGAATTGTGCAACTTGGTGTAACATATTGCACTGTATATTGCTTATGTGGAACAATGAAAATGGGCTGGAACAGCATCATTAAACTACCAAGTAATATGAATAATCCTTGCATTTGGTTATGGTGCCTTATCAATCATTGATGCATCTCAAAATGCTTTAAAAGATTTTACTGAAGTGTAGTGACTGTATTTGTAGGGAATGCAGCCCCTAATTGGGCACACTATTACTCCAAAAATAACCGTGAAATGACAGGTCCTTTTTAAATCTGGAAGATGGGACAAAGGGAGAAACTCCATTCCCATTTTAAATTGTGCCATGGGATTTTTCATGTCCATCTACCAAATACGTTTCACCCAAAAATATACAGTCAATTCACTTTACAGTCTATTCTGTGAAGCGCTTTGAGATGTCGAGAAGATGTGAAAAGCGCTATATCAAATGCAAGGATTATTATTATATTATAAATAGACAATAACAGGAGATTCTGTCAGACAGTAAATAAGAGGTGAATTCCTCCCAGTATCAGGGCAAGTTAAGTAGTGATTTTGTAGTACAACCATTCCAAGTTACTTTCACTAAGTCCCACAGAGCAAACTCCAGGATAATTATAATCCTATAATAATAATAATCCTTGCATTTGATATAGCGCTTTTCACGTCGGGAGGACGTCCCAAAGCGCTTCACAGAACACACTGTAAAGTGAATTGACTGTATATTTGTGGGCGAACGCGGCAGCCAATTGCGCACAGCAATGTCCCACAAACAGTCGAAGAATTGAAAATGACCAATTTATTATTGTTTTTGGTTTTGGAGGGATTATTATTAGGCGTGTGGAGTCAGGAAACTTGCCCAAGGTTTCGCCCTGCCGGGAATTGAACTCAGGTCTCTCGCTTGCAAAGCGAGTGCTCTAACCACTGAGCTACAGGACTCCAGCCACTGAGCTATAGGATAAGAGCCAGAGGCAGCAGCACCAAGTGGTCAGTGAATCGAAACAGTATAAAAAAGTGGTGTGCTTACCGCTGTGAGTCTGCTCATCCCCTTAACTCAAAAGATTCATGCTGGTTTGTAGATTTAAGCATGTAGTTTTGGGTGAAATAGACTAAATAAGCTAGAGTGCTGGAGACTAGGAGCACCAATGGACATGTTCCAAGAACAAAGATATGCCTGTCTGTCCAGATGGTAACAGTGATCTGAGGTGAGCAGACTGATATAAAAGATTCTTCATGGAATAAAAACATCATAACAACACTATCAGATTATCTGCAACAACAGAGGAATATGCCTCAGGCTTGTGAAGGACAAGTTTAGTCATTTTATCAGGTTGTTGTGCATTGATTTATTTTTTGTTTATTTGTGTATTGCTCATTATTCTCATTAATGGCTCAATCTCCTTTCATTTTCAGTTCCCTGAATGTGGTTTCTATGGGATGTATGACAAAATTCTCTTATTCCGCCACGACCCTGCTTCGGAAAACATCTTACAACTTGTGAAGTCGGCCACTGAAATCCAAGAGGGAGACCTGATTGAAGTTGTTCTGTCAGGTATTACATAACATAACTGCATGCATTCTTTCTTAACGGTGTAAGCACGATGCATACAGTTTGATATGTTTGGATATATCTGGCAATGCACCAGATGTAAACCTTTGGTAAATTTAATGGTAAAGCATAAAGGCTATGTATCAGTCTGGCTCAGTGGTAGCACATTTGCTTCTGAGTCAGAAGGTTGTGCAAGAGAAACAGACGAGATTCCCATCTTCACCATTTTTATTCACATTTACGACAGAGCCTTCCCTCACTTTAAAGATAATTTCATGTGCCAAGCTTCAAATAGTACTAGAGCTTCAGAGAATCTCCTCTGTTGTAGCAGATGTTACTATGTCACTCACAACTCTGACTCTGCCTACAGGGGCGGGTCTTTTGTGTTTCTGTGCCTTTCCAGGGTTATCACAATGGCATGGAAAGAGGAAGCCAGAGTTATTTCAGTTGTTCCATATTGGCCCAAGTTCTCAAATCTCTTTTCCTTCCTGGAGACGTGTTTCCACACACTTTACAGTACAGATTTATTCTCCAAATAAGGCAAATTTTAATATTCTTGTCCAACTAGCCTTTAACTAAGCACATAGTTATTCAGCCAAAGCAGCTGGTTGAGTGTTGCAGGAGGCTCAGATTCAGCAGACTCTTACAGCAAATGAAAGACGTTTACGATCTGATGTTGTCTACATGGCAATAATAAGCCACCAGATATACTGAATATCCTAACACTAAGTTCTAACACTGGCTCTTTTGGATTTTGTGCCTTGGCCCAGGCCTTTCTCCTACTAGTGAAAATCTGCTCTGGAGAATTGAGCACATCCCAAATAACAGCATGGTTATTGGTGCTTTGGCACTGCACTCAATTATGTTACCACAACCTCACATAAGCGCAGGAGAAACTGCAGTGTTTATAAATGGGGGGGGGGGGGGGGTATGGTCTGTGGTGTCAGGATTGTGCTAGGGCCCATATTGTCTGGACAGTACCTCAAGCAGTGTCCTAGCTCCAGTACTAATTCAATAAAAGACTGAAATTTACACCAATGCAGTGCATAGATGGTCTGTATCATGGCTAACAACCTGTGATGCCTTGCAGGCAGGAAACGCTGCAGTGACAACATATGGTATATGTATACATAGAGCTTACTCATGACAGGGATCATTACTCTTGCAACAAATTGAAAATTTGTAGGTGGTAAATTTTTCAGAACATGCAAGAATACAGAAATATCTAGATATGTGCAGAAGAGACACTGAAGCATATAAACATATGCTTCAGAAAAGGAATCTGAGAATATCTTGACTTTTTCAGCATTGTTATCAGGAAACTCGAGTATGTGTTGCACTCAGCAATGGAAAGGCAGATACCATAAGGAAATGTGCTGGCTTGCATCTCACTTTTTAATGTGCTTAGCCAATGAGCTGTAAATATAATGGAAATTCATTCCCAATTACTTTCAGGCAATGAATGCAAATATGAAAACTATTGAAGTTTTAAGATCTACCGCAACACTTTTGAAATTAAATGTCTTTTCTGCAACAAACTAACTGTACGGATAAAGGTGATGGCAGCTTCAGTAGCAATTATAATAAGACAGCAGAACATTTCTAAATCAGATGTGGTCCAAATCAATTGCACTTCATAGAACTGACACATCCTCTCTGGTTACCCTCTTCCTATAGTGAAAGAAGACATGTTTGGGGTTGTGTCAACTAACTTGAACAATCTGTTATTTGTGGATGTTGTTAATCAAATATTTGGGCACATTAAGTGACTTTTAAAATGGTACTAGTTCCTGCATAAATGTGCAGTGGTTTGCAATATCCACATACTTGATGTGACACTGAGTGAACCACATATCACTTTGATTGCTTTTTTCTGCCAGTATATCTGTCAGTCGTCCAACTGATAAAGTGAAGTCCAAACATTCAGTCGCATTCTCTATAGGAAAGAAAAAGGACAACAAGAGGGAAGTGGGTACACCTGGAGTACTTTGCTTTTGTTGCCACTCAGTCCTGTTTGTTGCTCGGCAGGGCTCCTGTGCTCTTGAGATTTTAGATCATAAGTGGGGGGGGGGCATGGGATAATAATAGTAATCCTTTCATTTGATATAGTGCCTTATCATGTCTTCGAGATGTCTTAAAGCGGTTCACAGAATTTATTGTAAACTGAATTGACTGCATATTTTGTGGGATGATTTAAAAAACTACCTTCTTGGTGAAGTCTCACTTTGTGTTAAATTCATTTGTTGAAGTGCCAACAAGTTGAATCCGGATGCCTGTTAAAAGGGTTACCCACAAGAAATCTACTTTTGCTGTGCTGCACGAAGCTCCTGTTCAGTCCACACTAAATACTTCATCGCGTCATGATCTCAGATACCAATAAAAGTCATAATTTGTTCAAAGAACTCTTCAAAGAAACAAAAAAAATAAATGGTGACCTTTGTAAACAGAGCTGGAACCTTATTCTGTGCCTGTATCTGGGTTCCAAGATTCTGAGATTGATTGGTCCCCAATAATTTGCCATTCCACACTTCAAAATATTGTAAATGTTTATTTTGAGCAAGTGGTCTCATGTTCTTGAAAATAATCAGTCTGTACCTTACTAAATAAAAGGGAACACTGATAAAGCTAGCCATTATAAATAAGACTGCTGCGTGCATTTGGCTGCCGCGTTTCACCCACAAAATACAGCCAATTCATTTTACAATATATTCCGTGAAGCACTTAAGATGTCTCAATGACATGATGAGGCACGAAATCAAAGGCAAGAAATATTATTATTAAGTACACAAGAAAGTATAAATGAGGAAAGCTGATATGACCTGTCAAGCCCATTTCCTCTATTGAGCTGGATGGTGAACCCAAATCACAGCATTTCGGTACTGATTCAGGGAATACTGTTTTCACTCAACTTTAACACTGGTTTTTTTTATATGGATACTTTTTCATGGTAAGATGCACTTCAGTGTCCTTATAGACAAGTGCATACGATTAAGTGTACAAATACACACCAAGTGCATTTCTTGTCATTCTTCGTATAACCTCTTCACTCTTTAATCTTTCTCAATGCAATCGTTTCTGCACCACTATCAGTCAAACATAACATATTAACATGATGTATACTATAAATAATAATTTATAATATTTTTTTTTGCGGTCAACTGTTTTCAACAAGAAGTGGAATGCAGACCTTCCACCTACACACAATTTTTGAAGTGTATTCTAATGTTCTTGTTTTTTGTTCAGAATACGACAGAACCTTTAAAATACAATCTTTGGATTATTATTATGTCATTCAGATACATTCAGCATTTCAGACAGTTTGGTCCTTGTTGACAACAAGGTTAATGCTGCTTGTTAAATCATGTACAAAAGAGTCTGTGCCAAGTGTGACTTCGCTGTGCCTCTTGTCCTAATAATCTAACAAACAATAACTGCTCTTTTTCCACAACGCATTTCATTGATGCATTTAACAATTAGCAGACCCCATGTCATATATTTGAAGGTCTTTACTTTCACTTTTTATTCATTGTTCCCTCATAAATTATCAAATTTTAAAATAGTTCCTATAGTTTACTGACTCTATTAAAACCAAAATGAAACCCAAGTGTGGAAATGATTCTTAAGCAGGCCAGTTTGTTTCATTTCCATTGCTTCATGCACTCTAACTGCACCAGAATAATATGGCTTTCATAACATACAAAGTTTGCCTACAAAAATAGTCGCTACACTTGACAGAACTAGGTGATTTGACATGATAAGGATGCTGCAATAATGCAAGTTCCATGCTTCATTTTAATTCGACCTCTGTGATACTGGATTCAGATGACTGCATTATAATGGGGCTGTCCTGTACTGGTTCAATTTATTGACAGAAATAAATATATAACCAAGTCAGCTCTAATTTGTAATGGTCCTTTGATTTATTGCCCAACTATACGGCATAGCTCAGTACAGTGTTATGTGGTTTGTTAACACAAGCAATTTATTTGTGGTGCTACAAAGCATTTACAGAAGAAATTATGACTTTCAATGTCTGGCATGCCTGATGATTACAGTTTGTGTGCTGCCCCTAATACATTTTCTTGTCGAAATAATATAATATTTTTCTTGGCCAGTGGTGGTAGTTTGTGAAAACAGAGTAAAACAAACCAGAGCTGTTCAGACCCAAACTTTCCAATAATCGTTTATCCTTCAAAGTCTATAAGTGCTTTTGGTATTAGATTGGATTTACCATGATTTTCAAATTAATGTTCAGACAAATGTGAAATATGTTAACAGCAAAAGTTCTCGCTGGAGCTGAAAAAATGGCAAATAGATGCTTCATAGAACCTATAAATCTTGAAAATTCAATCTAAGGTTGTTAATTTTTTTGCAAATGCAGAAATGATTCTTAGAAAAGGCAATTAAGTTATGGAAAGAGTTTTGCATGTCAGTATTGCTCAAGTAGTTGCTGGCACTGCGGCTCCTGCGGATGAACTGTCCTGAGTAATCAACAATATTGTATGCAGTCTTTTTGTGTAATTTAGGTTTTCATGGTTAGCAAACATATAGATTATTCTCTCGAATATATAATATTATTATATCAAGAATAAAGAAAGTAAGAGCAACACAAGTTAAACAGAATCTAAGAAGGTGCTATTTTATTCTTGGTCATAAATTTGTTTCAAAGAAAAAAAGAATATCAAACAATTGAAGGAGTTTAAATGTGTTAACTGTTGGTAAGGCATCTGTGATACACATAACATTGTGCTGGTGGCACTTTATTTTTATGGGGTTTATTGTATAGTTTTATAAACCATTTAAATGTTACTTCTCAGCACAACATTAATATGTACTTTGTTCAGTCCAGAATCTAGGAAATCATACATATATAAAATACATTGGTGGAATCAGGCATACACGCCACCCACTTAATACCACTGAGCCAAATAAATAGATTGATAAGTAAATCTCATCAAATCTAGTGTACAGGCTGTAATGTTGTTTGAGTCATTATGTTGCTT